ATCCTGACCCCACTTGTTTACAGTTCCCATGGAAATTTCCTGTCTGAAGCTGGTCTTTATGGAGCAGTGTTGGCACCCACTGAGCAGAGAATTGTCCATTTTAATTTTGTAGTTATAATTATGCAAGCAGTACCAATTGAGATGCCTAGGGGGCTGGCTGCTGTATACTTCTACTATAGCATGAGCAAGAGTAATTTATTACTTGCAAATTTATATGGATGATCTGCCCCTATAAGGGCTTCATTTTCAACATCATTTTGTCTTTTCTTTAGGTAAATCTTCCATATTAAAAATAGCAACAAATGAAAAATGAAGCCATTCATTTGTGAACTGCTGATTTCTTTGAAGCATTGTTCCCATACACTTTTTTAAGGCATCATTTATTTCATCATTTTTCTTCCCAAGCTTGATTATAAATTCGATGTTTGTTCTTCCTTCAGTTTTACTAGAATTCACGTACTTCTGATAGGGGCTACTTACAAACTAGTGTTTTATCTTAAATGCTTCAAACTAGATTATATTCAGATATGTTGTAACAAGTTATTATAGATTTATTTTGGTGCAAAATATTTTTAAATCCATGCATATTTTTTCGTGATAGATATTTTTAAAGAACTCTTTGAAGATTCCATACCTATATGACTGTTGTAGTTGTTTTGTTGGGTCATGGAGTAAAATAATTTATATTACACTCTACATTGCTTTAGCATTTTATAGTGAATGGCATTTTAAAGAGGAAAAAATTCTTATATATAATATTAAGGAAATTTAGAGGACAGCTCAGTGGCATAGTAGGCAAATCCTTCTCCTATAGAGCTAGTATTCCATATGAGTGCCAACTCATGTTCTGGTTGCTCCACTTCCAATCCAAATCCCTGCTTATGATGTGGTAAAACAATGAAGGATGATATAAGTCCTTAGATACCCTACTCCCACACTGAAGACTCAGAAAAAAAGCTTCAGGTTTCTGGTTCTTCATTATCTACAACACCTGCATTTTAAAAAATAGATGGGCCCAACGCGGTGGCGCAGTAGTTAAGGTTCTCGCCTTGCACGCCCAGAATCCCATATGGGCGCCAGTTCTATCCCGGCAGCCCCACTTCCCTTCCAGCTCCCCGCCTGTGGCCTGGGAAAGCAGTCAAGGCCGGCCCAAAGCTTTGGGACCCTGCACCCGCACGGGAGACCCGGAAGAGGCTCCTGGCTTTGGATCGGCATAGTATCGGCCATTGCGCTCACTTGGGGAGTGAATCATCGGACGGAAGATCTTCCTCTCTGTCTCTCCTCTCTGTATATCCGCCTTTCCAATAAAAAAAATAATAATAAAAATAAATCTTTATAAAAAATAGATAAATACATCTTTTTAAATTAATAAAATTTATTTTCTTTTATACTAAACCATCAAGCTTAACATGGCACCAGAAATACCTCAGTTGCAAAACTATCAATTAGATTGATCTATAATTTTATCTTCCTTTATTCCGAATGCATCTATTCTACTTTATAAGATAAGAAGCATCATGTTTGGACCAAGGTCATGTGATTTAATTTTTTTCTGCATACCTGCAGGTCTGTCCATTCGTCCTCTCTAACGTCTGGGTTGAGGATTCTGTGGGATGCTGGAAGAGTTCACAAGATGCTGCAAGGTGCAGCTCCATCTGTAGGAAGAAGCCTGATTTGGCCACAGATAGACTTACATACAAATAGAGAACATCCCTAATGACAAATAATTAAGAAAACAGAAAATCACAGCCTGGATGAAGATCCTGAGAACATAAATAAATATGCATCCACATACAATATTTCATGAATCATTCTTCAATTTTATTCCCAAGCACCATTTCTTAACATCCTACTATTTATCAGCCTGATTTGGGCTCTGGAATTCAAATCATGAATTATTTACAGTCCGTAACTTCAATGTACTCTAAAACTAAACAGAAAAACTTAAAAATCAATAAATGTAACACTAATAAGATTTGATAAGCAAAGGTGATATTTGGTCAATAATTGATGTCATTGAAATTGAAGCAACATAAAGATTTTATACAAAGCATAATCCACTGAATTTTCACTGTAACTCTTTTGTATGAGCCATATCTGAGAAAAGAAATATGTGATTTTATGAATAAACTAAATAAAACTTCCATCATCTAGTTGTAGCTAATATAAATGCAAGAGGAGTGCATAGAAAGAATAAAAATCTTTACACATTAGGTATGTCTTATGAAATTTAACATATAAACTTTGTACGATATATGTCAGCAAATATTTATTCACTAAACAAAAATATAGCATTTATTGATCAGGAAATAGAAGTAAGTCAATGTCAATTAACTTTTTTGCTTTTCTTTCATAGTTCATGAGACAGATAATGATTGATGATAAATTGATACAATATGAGGTAGTAAGAAGGTAAAAAAGTAAAGCAGAGATGGAGTCAGATAAAGAGGAGGGAATAGCTATGTTAGGTGGAAGGTTCCAGGAGTTGGGAAAAGTCTGTCTTAAGCAACTAAACTGAGAATTGAGTGAGATGAGGGGATGAGTCTTAAGAAGATCTAGAGACATTCCCAAGGAAAGGAAGAGTGGATTCAAACTTCCTGATGTGGGGTGACAGTGGTGTAGTGTACCAGGTTAACCCTCTTCCTCTACTGTTTGGGTGCCCATTTGAGTCTTGGCTGCTCCAGTTCCTATTCAGTCTCTTACTATGCCCCTGGGAAAGCAAAGAAAGATCACTCAAGAAAGGGAACCCTGGTATCCACGTGGGAGACCCAGTGAAGTCCCTGCCTCCTGTTTTGGCCTGATCCAGCCCTGGCCATTGTGATCATTTGGGTAGCGCATCTGAGAACAGGTTTGCCTTTCTCAGAGCAGGGCAGGTGGTCAGGACTAGGGCAGAGTAGGCAGGAGATACATCAACATTGTCACGGAGTTACTTGGAAACCTTTCCAGGATGAATCTTGTAGCCCGTGGTAAATTTTATTGAAGTCATGAAACTAAATGAAATGATCAGAGAAGTAAATGCATAGAGAGAGCAAGAGTTGCAACTCAGCCCAGACAGACTCCAAGTATGAGGGTGAAGTAATGCCCAAGACAAAAAAAAAAAAAAAGGAAAATTTTCAAACAAAGAGGGAGCAGCTGTTTCAAACACCATAGGTAAGCCAACATATTACTGCTGGGAATTGTCTGTTATGATCTATATCCTCCCCAGCTAGCTGGAAAGCTGTTCTCCTTTAGCATCAAAATCCAAATGAAACTGCCTCTTCAGAATTCTTCTGTCTTGCACTGGCAAAGTTTTTCCATTTTTCTCTGCATTGTCATTTAGCAAAGGAACTTAAATGACTCAGTACCAAAACCTCTTTTAAAATTGACATACAGCTTTTACACAGCACCATATGTGAATTTTTTTAATATCTAAAAATTACCTGAACTGTCTTCCGCTTACTTTGATTGTGCAAAGAATAATATATGATGATCAAGTGTGGTTCATTTCAGAAATAAAGGGAACATTTATTGTAAATCAAATTATATTATACGTATGTTGCTAAGCAGAAGTAAAAGTATATGACCATCTCAATAGATACAGAAAATTGTTTAATAATCTAAAGCCCACTTCTGTTTTCTAAAACACTCTCAACCAAGTAGGAATCAAAAGGACATCTATAAGAAGTCTGCATGATGAATGTGTGTTCACATGTCCAAACATGAAACTATGCAATTAAATATGTAAATCTTATTGCATTCAGATAAACCTCAATAAAGCTACCATTTTTATTTTAGCAAACCAGAATTTCAACCACATCTTTTGAGTAATATCTTTTTTATTTTTAATGTTTGGTTTGATGATGCTTACATAGTTGATCAGGGTAGAAAGAATCAAGGGTTAGGGAAAAGTAAGTGTGATCATAATTTCCAAGTTTTCTATTTCTTCTTCCTGTTTCTGGGGAAAGGGGGAAAACAAGAAGAGAAGCCACACCCAGCCTCCCAACCGCCCCAGTACTTGGGGTGTTTTATTTTCCAGCATTAAAACAAAAGGGTAACAAAGAAAATGTTGTTGTTGAATACCTTGTACCCCCACATATTGAACTTTTCACTTTTCTTCACCAGATAAAAGGAAAATAAAGTCCAATTGCAATGAATTGCAAATGAGTGATTTATTGAGCATTCCATAGTACGCTCAGGATCGACTTAATATAACCAGGAAAAACAATCTCTCTTAATTTTAAGTGTCTCATCTACTTAGAAAGCAAAAATAACACTAGAGCATAGCTAATAGAAATGTCTTACAAATGACATGAGATAATACCTATTGAAAGCTTACTGTAGCTCCTGGAAGTTAATAATGCATCATAAATGTTAGTTGTTACCAGTTTTTATTACAACTATCATTAGTTCTCAAAAATAATAAGGCAATTTTAAAAAGAAAATATTTGGATAAAAACAGAAGTTGCGTTTATACATAGCTTCATGATTTTCCAAATATGTTTACATTATGCATCAAGTGTTCGTTATGCCAGGCAAGGTACTGGATCCAGCAGGTACTAGTGATGAAGACAACATGGTGGCTAGCCAGCCAGGAATTGTGTCCTCAAAACTATAGTTCTATAAAGAGTATAAACTCATGTGACAGGTTTAAAAAATACCCCAGGACTGATGAGGTTGAAACTTAATTTGTTTACGCATTCAACAAATACTTACAGAATACCATTGACATATTGGACACGTTCCCAGTCACTGGCCACATAGAATGAAGTCCATAGCTAAGAATGTTTAGTCTTATGTAACATACTATCCAGTTGTAGGATTAAACACTAATTAATACATACGTAAGTCACCTATTACACCAGATGGCAACAAGTTTTATATAGAAAAATAAGCCAGAAAAAAAAGATGGGAAATTTGGATGCAACTTTAAGCAAGGTTGTCAAGAAGAGCTTTCACAAAATGACAAAGAAGACAGAGAAGATGCAGAAACTACGGAATGATACATTTTACACTGGCCCATCTTACACTGTTCCAAAAGGCTTTGATCTGCTCAGGGATTTCATGACAGCTTCCTTCACCTCCTTGTTCCTCAGGCTATAGATAAAGGGGTTCAGCATTGGGGTCACCACGGTGTAGAGCACAGACACCACTCGGTCTCCTTCTGAGGACTGGCCTGAGTTATCTCTCAGGTACATGAAGATAAGAGTGCCAAAGAAGAGCGCAACAGCAGTGAGGTGAGAGGCACAGGTGGAGAAGGTCTTGGCCCGGCCCCCAGCAGAGCGGATCTGCATGATGGCCATGACAATAAACAGATAGGATACCAAGATCACCAAGATGCAAGCTGGCATGACAAAAATGGCAAACACAATGATCACCACTTCCTGGGTGTAGCTGTCCCCACATGTAAGTTTTAGCAGAGGGGGGAGATCACAGAAGATGAAGTCAATCTTATTGCTTCCACAAAATGAGAGCGTGAAGGCTGTGACCGTGCGAACAAAGGCACTGGAAAAGCCAGCCACGTAAGCTCCAGTTACTAAACCCCAGCGAGCCCTCTCTGTCACAATGGTCACATACACCAGGGGCTGGCACACAGCCACGTAGCGATCATAGGCCATGATGGCCAAGAGGTAGCAGTCAATGGAAGCAAAGAAGGTGAACAGGAAGAACTGAGCTGCACAGCGAGCCTGGGAGATGACTGTGCCGTGTTCCCACAGCACTGCCAGCATCTGAGGAACGATGACAGAGGAGTAGCAGAGGTCCACAAAAGAAAGGTGACCGAGGAAGAAGTACATGGGCGTGTGGAGCCGGCAATCTCTGTGGATCAGGATGATCATTCCTGCATTCCCCACCAGAGTGATGAGATAGAAACTCAGAAATACCAGGAAGAGAGGCAGCCCCCACTCGGGATGTTCAGTGAATGCGATAAGGAAGAACTCGGTCACCAAGGTGTTATTTGTCCCAGCCATCCATGGAGCAGCTCACCTAGACATAAAAAAAGTTGAAGTCATTTCAAGTGACACAAGTTTAAACTAAGAGTCTGGCCCGTAGATACTCAGCTTCAACGAACTCTTCAGTCTCAAGAAAAATATCAAGTTCACTATAGCATGAGATAAAAAGCGGTGAACGATTCTATTAGAGTAAGAACAGAGAGCAGGTGCTTCTTTATCTTACTGGTCACTTCTTGTTTTTGCAACTCTGTCCCTAATTATCTGCTTGATATTACACAGACACTTAACCTCTCTAAATCACAATTTCCTCCTCTGCCAAAAGGCAGTTACATGCGCTTCTGAGATAAGGTTAATGCACAGATTTAAAAAGGCACTATGGAAAGCTGCAAGCACTCTACATGTACATGGTGACTATTTAAATTTCAAAATGACTACTGTAAGGAAGGAAAGTATACATTCTATCCATAAAAAGCATGGATAAAAAACCAATTCTTTGACAATCAGTAACGGGCTTGATGATATGAATACCTCTACTCCGATCCAGCAATATGAATGTTTAGCAAACAATTGTTATCCTAAGTAGAGTTGGCTGGCTTATGAAGGGTGTGTGTGTGTGTGTGTGTGTGTGTGTGTGTGTATGTAAACAAGCATGAAAACATAAGCTTCTTTAGACACCTGATGAACCTCCATTAATCCTGCCTGGCTATTCTAAAATTCCATCCTAAAAGTAGTACTTTGATAACAAAAAAAAAGCATACATGTTTGAATACAAGAAGGAAGCAGGCGTATTTCTTAAAGTCTGGTGTTATCTCTGTTTTGTTTGAAGAATCAGACACAGAGTTCAAAAGCAAGGTGGTGAGAGAGGGCTTCGATCATTTTGGGATATTTGGGGTGTAGCGGTATCCAGGCCAGTATTGAGCAGACCCGTCAGAGACTAACAGCAGAGAAGATACATCACATCAGGAAGCCATTAGCTGGACATGGACCATCCTCACCTGAATCCACCTTCGTAGTGTCTTCTTCGTGTAGTGCCACCTATCCAGAGGATGTGTGGGTTCCACAGCACCCTCACTACATGTGTGACACTGGGCAAGTCATTTTATGCAATGGGCTTCAAGTGCCTTGTCTTTGCCAGTTTCCCTTAAACAACAACCTGGCAAGTTTCCATAACAACAGCAAACTGACCTAGATGGCACCATTTCCAGGAATACTATGCCTTCTTCTCAATCCTATTAATCTCTTTCTTTGCTCCACCCTTAACAAAGCAACGCTTTCTTCACATTTGAATTTCTTGTGATTTTTCTTTTCAGTCTCAGCTTAATATAAAAGGACTAGAGGACCAGTCGAGCTTCTGCTCCAGCTCTGGACCTGTTGGTGACGTGACATAGATTAATTGCCCATGCGTTATTTCCTTATTAGCTTCTAAGAAATCTCTCTAGGGGAACTTCCTTATCTGCATGTACTCCCTCATGAAGACTTCTGCTTACACGCAAATCCCCAAAGCCCCATCCTGTTTTTTTTCCATCCTTTGGCATGATCTGACAATGCTGGTCCCTAGCCTTGCCATCTTCTTGCCTTATATCAAAAGGAATTTAGTTCTCTGGAGGTGTCCTGTATCTCAGTAGGTAATGTTGTCTAGCACTATAACAAGCCGTGACTTGATCTAAAAGACATACTGAGAGATCAACACTTAGCACAAGCAGGGAGTGGTACACAGGAGCACGGTGGGATGAAATGTCAGAGAGGCAGATGTGAGTCAGCTGCTAGCCAACAGGAAAACTCGGGAAATTCTTAATGATGAATAACTCCTCCAACAGAGCATGGGTTCTCAAACTTCAGTGTGAGAACCTGTTAAAATGTGAGTAGGCAGTGCCCACCCAGACAGACTCAGACATAGTGCCTTAGCCTTCAGGGGACAGTAAAAGGGTCTGCATTGCTTATAAGCATCCTAAGACATTCTGACTCTGATGCAAAAATTGCATCTAAATGCAGTACCTTGGGAACCCTCTTAGGAACTCCAGTCCTGCTCCTCCTGGGCTGTGTCCTAAACTAGAAAATATAACATTAGTTTCTTAATTAGTTTTATGTTGGATTAACGTAATAAGTTTACATGTTCATGGAGAAGACATTTCAACATGTGTATGTGGCATACTCCAACCAAATCATGACAATTAACATTCCAATTTCCTTGTCCTTCTTTACATGGGAAAGCTATGATCTTCTCCAGTCCTTTCACAGATATACAAACTTGCTGTGGACTAAATTGCCTGACTATGCCGCGAAACACAGGAACCTGTGTTGTGTTTTTGTTGTTTTATTTTGTTTTGTTTTGTTCTGTTTTTTAAATATTTAACTATTTTTATTGCAAAGGCAGATTTACAGAGAGAAGGAGAGACAAAGAGATCTTCTATCCACTGGCACACTCTCCAGATGGCCGCAATGGCTGGAGCTGAGTCTATCCGAGCCAGGAGCCAGGAGCTTCTTCCACGTCGCCCACATGGGCGTAGAGTCTCAAGGCTTTGGGCCTTCCTCTGCTGCTTTCCCAGGTCACAAGCAGGGAGCTGGATGGGAAGTAGAGCAGCCAGAACACAGACAGGCACCCAATTGGCACCCATAAAGGTGAGGATTTAGCTCCTGAGCCATCGCACCAAGCCCACAAGCTGTGTTTGGGCACCCCTTATTCATCACCCTTCTAACCTCTCTAACTCTTCACTCTTCTCAGCCTCCATCAACTTTTTTAGCTTTCCCCTGTGAAACAGAATGTGCAGTATTTGTCAATAAAGACATATTCTGGAAAAGTGTGGTTTTCCCAAGTGCTATCCATGTCTTCCTTCCTCACAGGAGACAGGAAATGGGGTAAGTTTGATGCTTTGGAGTATTATGAATTTTTAAAACAACCTACAAATGCATAACTTCTTGGTAGTAAAAAATTGAATCACTGGAAGCAGGTCAGCTTTCTCTGAACTGCCATATTCAGAAGATGGAACAAAACAGAGAGGCCTCCAGGGCACTGGTATTCCAACTTCGCTCAACAACAGAATCATCTGGGGAGCTTCTAAAGCCCCAAGGCTCAGACTGCACCCCTGATCAATTAAATCAGGATATGTGAGTGTTGAGCCAGATACCAGCACTTGTTAAATTCCCAGGTGATCACAGTATGCAGCAAAGTTTGAGAATCTCTGGCTGAAGGCTTCTGCTTTCTCCCAGGAGTCTAAGGTAGATGTCGCAGGAGGAAAATAGGTCATCCACTCTCGTGAGTCTGGAGATCACTGCATCCTGTGCTCTCACATGGGAAATCGCACTGCATATCAGCATCTTAAAGGTTGTAAAATATTATCAAGAAATCTCACCAACTTTCTCTAAGCCACAATTTCCCAAAAGGGTTTGGCCCCAGAACCTCTTCTTCACTAACATTCTACAAAGCCAAAGTTCCTAGGAAAGGATGCTTCTTTGGGCAAGACAGCTCTAAGGGGGCTTAGAAGTTGCTCAAATGCCAACAGCAAAGCAGTAATTATTCCAGCCAGCAACACGTCCTGCTGACTCATCTCAGGATCTGTTTCTTTAAGTCTCGGTCAGACTAGCTCCCCCAAGAGCAATCACTCCTACTGAGTAAGGAATATGGGAGATTATTGGGGAACGACATCTTTCCAAGTGGATCCCTTAGGAGCTGTGGAGGAGGAAAGCACCTCGCCCTACAACGCTTTTCTTCCGGTGATGAAATGGGTTCCACAGCTGAGACAGTTGCAGTCCCACTGCATAAACAATATAACTCTCCACACCCTCATCCCCAAGTGAAATGGTCAATGAGGCCATCAGCAATAACTCTTATTTTTTATTATTATTATTGCAGGGTGTTTGTTATTGTTTTTGCTTTTTAAATTACACATATTTATGTTGTGCAGTGCAACAACTCCTGGCCTATATTCGAGGTTTGAAGATCCAATCAGATTAGTTAGTGTTTCCACATTTTTAAGTTGTTAAAAGACTTTTTTAAATTAATACCTCATAACTATTAACATTTATGAAGTACAGTGTGGCATTTCTATATATATATACATATATATGTGTGTGTATATATAGTATAGGTGAAGTTGGAGCAATCAACATTTCACTTTCCTTGTCCTTACTTGATGATTGGAGCCCTGGAGTTCCTATCTCCAATTTGCTCAGAAAATATATAGGGTTCTTATGAATTGCACGTACCACATTGTTTTCATTTAACATAAAACTTTTTCCTTCTATTTACGTGTCTTGAGGTGCCTTCCCTCTTCCTCCTTCTCCCTCCACCATTCCTAGCATGGTCACACTATTCTGTGTTCAGATCAACTTGTTTAGTTTCCACATGCGAGGCAGAATATGTATTATTTCTCATTCTGTGTCTGACTTATTTCACCTAACATCATCCTCACAATAGCCATTATATTGAATCAACCAAGATGCCTGTCACCAGATGGGCAGAGAAAGAAAACATGGTTTATATACACAGTGAGGCTTCATTCAGTCACAACAAGAAAGAATAAAATCTTGCCACTTGCAGAATCCAATTGAAATTGAATCACAGCCTCCTGAAAGATTTCTAGTGGTTTCAGCCAGTCTTTTTCATTCGGCTGCTTAAATCTCTCAACAATATATTTGTAGCTCAAACATTACATCACTCTCCATAAATAAATCTACTTACTTTTCAACTAAAATTCTCCATTTTTTAGAAATAATTTAAAAACACCATTACAAAATGATCATTGAATGATTAAATCACCATATGGTCAGCCCTTACAAAGAAGCAGAATCAATAGCAAATAGTAGAGATTGTGAATACACTACACATGGTTAGTACCAGTAATTTTAGAAGTTTAGACATTTTTTGCTTCATATCCACAGATCTGACTGAAATTTAGAAGCAATTCTTCTTTCTATGTCTGTATGGCTTCCTTCTAGCCCTTCAGGAAAAAAAAAATCAGGGGACTTGGCATAAAGACAGGACCCATGTTACAGAGTAGGCATATTGTGGTAGAAAGTTC